AAATGAGACCTAGCGTCACCCCTGCGTGTTTCAGTTATAATACTCTATAGTTGAGATATCTCATAATGAACTATTTCATAATTTCAGGTTATTCAGTTGTAACGTTTTAATTCTTCATTTGTTTCCAATGTTCTATATAGTACTCCATTCGAAAGCTGATCATCACCAATCGCTCCGACTGCTGTACATCCAGACTTTCGAATTTTGAGATAAGGATTGGCTTATCTCTGAATAACAATGGCAACTCTAATCCCACATGTGGTGGAAAACATTCACTGAGCACTGTAATCACCAAGAGTATCACGTGTCCACAGCCCATGATCGGAAGATATGTAAATATTATACTTCCTGGACCACACAAAATTCTTACATTATGTGAAGTGGAAGTGTATGCCTAAAGGTCTAAAACGTTTTCTGATTGAAACTATAGTGTTGAACGTATAATAATTAAACATGCTTGTAGAGTATATTACGGTATAAAATTATAAAGTGTAAACTACTGTTATATTCCACAAAGGCTTAACCCTAAATTTCCTCAGCCAATAACTGGCTAAAATGAGTTATTATAGGTAAGATATTTTAGTTATTAACCTCCCCACAACTAGAAAACACGTGTACACTACACACGTAAAAATCTCACAACTTGTCAACAAGATGTGTTCGAAACAGGCAATTACAATATTAATATGACATTGAAGTTTGAATGTTGAAAAACGGATATCTTTCGAAATCCGATTTGCTTGGAATGATTTTTTCGAAGTAAATCTTCAATAATCGATCATATAACGTTATCACGGATGATCTTATTGAAATACCAACTTTCAGAAATTGACCATGTAGGTTGTGTTGTTTACCTGTTTAATTCGGAGCTTTTCTTTTTATTATATGGTGGCTCGTGAGTCACTTTTCTGTTCTTTCCACACTATGACGTCACACTGTGTATCTATAACTGAACAGACAACGGCAAAATCTTATTTATTTGTTAAATACACGATTTAAAAAATTGGACTAGTTCTTTACTACCTACTTTAGAGTGTCTTAACTGAGTTAAAAAATAGAGTCGCTCAGATGCTTTCTTTACAATTGCGGAAACATGTTTGTACGTTCCCCATATATTATGATCACATTTTGCAAGTGCTTATACTGGTATGTATAGGTTATCATATAAGGGATGAATGAGGTGATATCAGTTTTATCGCTTGAGGGATGGTATCACAATTGTCACGAGCGAGCGAGGGACAATTGTGATATCGTCCCGAGAGCGATAAAACTGATATCACCGAATCCCGAGTACGATAACCTATTTATTATAAACTTGTACCATTATCAGGCTTAGAAACCCAAAAGTAGCAGTTTTGAAAAAATAGGATCATTTTAAAATTCAAAACATTTCATCATTTACTGAACAAATATGATTTAATTTAGAAAATAAATAGACCATTCATATAAATAATATACAATTTAAGTCTTTCGTTTTGTATTATCGTTCTTGTTTCCTTCGATAAAACTGTCGACATCAACCGACACGAACCTCGAGTCGGTAATTGCTAGATAGTATACTTCAAAATAAGGTTTCCGTTTTTATATCAATTTTTAAAATAAGTTAGGGTTAGGTTAGGGTTAGTATTAGGGTTCGGGTTTAGTTTTGCGTTAGGATAGTTTTTCTACGTTATGAAAACGGAAACCTTATTTTGAAGTATACTATCTAGCAATTACCACCTCGAGTCGGCCATCTTTGCTTTGACAAGGCGCAAAATTTAGCGGGACAAAAAGCGATATCCGGCACAAAAAGCGATATCCGGGACGATATCGTTTTTATGTCCCACTGCTTCCTACCCGATAAAGGTGCAAGTATGTGATAAATAGTTATATATATGGACACGATATTATATGATTCTATTATCATTTCTTCTCATATAGTCAACTAAGAACGAAAAGTGTCAATGAACATGGGATCGATCATGTCACTTTCAAACATACACAACTATCATTCTCGTCTCCAGGGCGTCTCGGCCGCATGCGTCCTCCCTAATTTTCAACGAGTGACCGAGTGAAAATGGCTCTGCATGGGGACGAGAATGA